TTTGAAGATGACGAGAGCGTTATTCAAGCAGTGAGGACATGGCTACGTGCACAGGACAAGAGCTGGTACCGGCAAGGCATGCATGCACTTGTTCCACGCTGGCGTAAAACCGTACAAGTTGATGGGGACTATGTGGAAAAATAGTATGTGTAAAGGAAACATTGATTTATATTGTCACTAAATTTCAGCCATCTTGAATAAATATATTCTGAGGAAAAAAATATGGGGCATTACTTAATGAGCGACCCTAAGCGAGCGTAATAGTGGGATGTTTATGAAGACCCATATTTGTTTCTTGGCGCAGAAGTTGCTGGGTGGGGAATCCCCAAACATGCACCCTTCGCAACGTCGAAGGGGAATCCCCAGGGGACTCTGGGGCGATGTCTTATCAAGCCAGACAGGCGCTAGACATCTCACCAACGCAAATTCCACGAAACCACGTCTGCTTTAAAGCAATTCTCGCAACTCGTAAGGGTCACATTTCATGTTTGCCCGAAATTACTTCTTCTCCAGAATTTTATTCACAATTTAGGACTACACGTGTTTGTTACAGGATTGAAAAATACGAATGATAGCAGTTAATTTTGTAGGAGTGACGATCAGGTAGTGAGAGTTAAAGTAATCGGCGTTAATCTGTTTTATCCATTTATCCTATCCGCTTTCTGAAATTATCATTTTTCTTGTGAAAACAGTTTTTATGACAACGGTTTCGTTTTGGTGAATTCTTGGTAATGAAAGATCAAAAACATACCCGTGAAATTTTGTGACTACAAGATCCAGACTTAGTTTTTGGCGTTTAAATGTTTCGAACGCGTGTGGTGTTGCCGATTCGCAAGAACGCACTGCTACAGTCAAGTTGTATGTTATTTCCCAAAATCGCATCCCTGTTGTTGCATCTCCCGTGTCCCAGCAAACCACTAAAAACGTCCGATGTTCATTCTGATCAGTTGTTTCTGTTCTCCGTTCACAGATGGTGTGACGAACAGTGAGGGATATGTCATCAGCCATTACCTGGAATCTCACTAAAAACGACCGATGTTCATGTTGGTCAGTTGTTCCTGTTCTCTGTTAGCAGATGGTGTGACGAGCAGTGAGGGAGATGTCATCCGCTATTACCTTGAATCCCACTAAAAACGACCGATGTTCATTCTGATCGATTGTTTCCGTTCTCTGTTCACAGATGGTGTGACGAGCAGCGAGGGAGATGTCGCTGCTGTACCGCTTTGCAAAGCTGCAAGACCGTGCCAACACTCACGTGTTCACGTTCGTCGTTACAAAATCAGTGACACGTGACCTGGAACGCGACGTAACTTCAAAAGAATATGCATGCGGCTATCACAAGTGGGCCATCACGTTTTCTCGTACCGACAAAGTTTTGGGCGTGTATCTGGTCTGGAGAAACCCTTCTGAAGGCATGCGTGTGTATGTTGACTTTACATTTACTCTGCTGAACAGAGAACACTTTAGCGTAAACGAGGCTTTCTCTGGAAAACAAGTGAAGTTCACGTACGATTCCCCAGCTCAGGGGAACAGGAATTATATTCCCGTCAACGATCTGTACGCAAGGAACTTCACGGATACAAATGGAGAGTTTCAACTTGAGTTAACAATGGGAAATGTGAGGACAATATTCGATACGGAATTCTCAGTACCACAGTCCATTTTTGTTCCGTTTCAACACCACCACCGACATCATCAAGGAAGTGGTCATCAGGCTAACCACCATGCTTCTTCGACTTCCGGTTCGTCCTCAGGAACGAAAAGTGGGGCGCAGAAGTTTGAGAGCACGTACTTCGCCTTTGGTGGTTTCGACTGGAATCTGGCCCTCTTTCCACATGGAACCAAGGACTTAGGTAAAAAGCAACATAAGTGACTGTTCCTTGCCCACTGCAGATATTTATTGACTTTGCAAAATATCTGAAACGTAATTATAATCTCGGTCACTATTACTCAAATGATTATAGAAATTTTTCTTTTAAATGTAACTCATAGGTTCGCCACCTTGTTCTAACCAGCTTATTATTTTTTTTTTACATTTCGGTGAATTTCAGTTGATTAAGACTTTTCACTCTGTTGCTCCAAAATCGACATTCCATACGTTATCGCCCCTTGAGGATTTCCGGCCAGAACATTACATGCATTTCTCATAACCCCAGATATGCTACATCCCACTTAACTGATTCCCCCTGCCCTAATTCCCCTACAATATTAATTAGCTGAAGAATACATAGTGGTCTTTGGGGTTTTCATGTCTTCGAAGTTGTTTCGACTTCATCCACAGTTTTCCCGAAAGTATAAACAAAGGACTTTCTCTGGGATCAACCAGTAGAAGCCTTGGGGATCTTGCTTTCAGCCTGGCAAACCTGTGGTGGGTGGATTTACTGTGTGAGCGTCTACGAACTTACGACTCCATCCGCACACTTCAGACTCGTCGTCACGTTAGTCCCAAATTCAGCCACACCAGCTTCAACGTCTTCCAAAATTTTCGACCAAGATAACGACTACGTATGCCCTAAATTTCTTGAGCTGACATTTTGATGAAGTCCACCGCAACTTGACTTAATCGATTTGCTGCTCCATCGTGATGGCACCAGTCGCCTTGTTCGTGGAAGGTAACGAAAAGACCTCATGACTTCAGAGTCTCGAAGACCGCGTAAAGACTCACGATTAACGGTACCATTTGGTTGAGAAGATTTTACATTTCCGTCTTCTGTCTAAACACCTAATATATGTAAACACATAAAAATTTATGAGACGTTGTATGTAGCCGTAATACTCGACTTTGCACCAGATCAAAGATTAACAGAGACCAGTGGTTAGCATCAGTAGTTTCCGCATATTGTAATTATGACATTGGGTTGTTTACTTCATCTCTCCTCTGTGAAATTCATAACACATCCACTGAGGTATATTTCACTGCGTTTGATTTATAGACATCCCCATGTTCCACCACAAGGAAACCGTCAAATTTGGGACCACGTTAAGTAAAGAAAACACAGTGGAAAATAAAAAAAGAACTAAGGCATTTGCTTTCAATTCAAAAGCAACATTTATAGTTCATCCATCAGAAACACTTTTTATAAAAACATTTTACGGGAAAACGTTTCGCTTGTCGAGTCATCCACATGTCCCCATAATAATGTAAAGCAATAATACTTAGATTAATACATTCACACAAGCCTTCTTCCATCATGTCTAACTGGACCCTACTTCAAAACTGTTGCTTGCAATTAGAAATCAAAATTTGTAAACTTATAATCTTGCCCTGGGTCTATAATATCTCGTCATCTTTTACCCGTAGGTGTGGAGGTTTTTTATTTATTCAATTGATCTATTTGGACAATGAGTGATCAGCCCGACGCAATGCCTTTACCTATACAAACACAGAAAGGCACGGACAAACATCTTGCCTTGAGTGGGACTCGAACCGACGGTCCTAGCACTCAGGCGCACGAGGTCCATGCCTCAGACCGCGTGGCCACTGCGGCCGGCGTCTATAATATCTAAAAATTAAAATAACGTTAATAAATAAATAATATGTTATTGCCATTAAATAATATTATTTTGATATTAGGTGTTAACCTGTTGTGTTAAGGTAGCGGCGATGGGCGGGTGTCGGTGTACCTGAACAGGCTGACCGGCTTTGACCACCAGTGCAGGGTTAGGTACACGATCGTCCTGGGGGATAATGACAGGCGTCTGGATTCTGGCATCGTGGACGACGTCTCCGACACAGACGGCAGGGGGTACGGCTGGCATCCGCGCACTCGCTTCAACGACCTGGTGTACAAGGTAGGTGGAAAGGAATTTCCGTTGATGTACGATGCTGCTTCAGTAATTGATCGCCGCGCGGTTTGTCGGGAAATTCCATACCTTTTATACATACCGGAAGTTCATTTTCGAGTCAGCAGGAGGTTGCTGACTGTCCCTGAGAAGGGAATTTGTCCGTCTGTAGTCCGGATTAATGCGTATTTTCCACCCTCATGACAAATAAATCACCTCCCACCCCAACCCGTACAAGGTTGGAAAAAAATTTGGGAGTTATCTCGCGCGAGAATGAACAGAAGTGTTGGAGTCGAATCACAAATTTTGTAAACCAGGTTTAACTGTCGATCACTTGATAATTTCTTGTGGCTATGTGTGTCCTTGAAACTTCGCCATCTCAGTCCAATTTCGTCCTGCGGCAACTTTTACCGGAGTAGGCTCACTTTAAACCTCTGTGCCTAACTACGGCCTAGAACAGGGGTCATATTTTGTGTGGAGATCGTTCAGTTTTGATATCGGCTACAAATTTTCCTCTCATGGAAGTCAGATCTTGATCGGGGTAAATAAACTTTACTGTCTTCTGTCTGTAACATCTTCACTGAAGGAACGTGTTAGTACCTGATCGATTCACAGAAAAGGTGTCGCAAATATGGTCTGAGAAGCCTGTTATGCTTTCAGACATCGTGATATTGTGACATATTTATACCTTTCATTGTTTGAAAACATTGCTAATATTTATATTATTTATTTGTTAGATTTTAGGTTATTTAACGATACTATTCAAAATGCATAAATCGTGCCTTAAAATTAGGCAGGAAAATTAGCACCAGGTTCTTTGTTTTTACTGCGTTAAAGGTATCAGTGGCGGTCCTTGGATTGTCACGTCTCATGTACTTGAAGGTTGGTATCAGCGTTTCAGCCCTGAAGACGGAGTTACGATTTACGCGGCAGTTTTGGCATTCCGGTGTCTGTAAGTAGTCAACTCTCCAAAGACATTACTTGGACATTCTACGGACTTTTATCGGGCCACCCGAAAGGACAAACGGCATTGTGTGCCAGTGGGTTGAATATTTTGAGACCCCGAAACACTTACTTTGGAGCGCTGCGTGTTTCAGGGCACTGTCAGAGTCCACCTGGAGATGATGATGGCGAACACGCTGAGCGAGGTGGCTGTCGCGTCGAGTGTGGGGCTGCAGACCCCGGCCCCACCTCCGGGCACCCACCAACCGCCGGCAGCCGTCGTTCTGCCCACCCCCGTCTTGGCGCAGTGTTACGACAGAGACAAGCAGGCCTGGACCATCAAGAGCGACTGTCACTCTGAAACTGTCCGGCTCCACATGGTGTACAAGGACATCCACAACGTAGCTCGCAACCACCTCAGGTACAGGCTGTTCCCCAAAACTGTTACCATCCGAAAGATACACGAATTTGGGTACCAATGTTCTTGGAGATTGCAACTATCGACAGGTATGTAAACTCACTCACTCTTTGGTGCAGGATATTGTTTGAAAAATCGATTGTATACTCGGCTTGTCAAAGAATTAACCACTTTCTTTATGGAACCCAAAGGTTCATCACCGTGTTAACAAAATCCCGCCACCTGACTATCCTGATGCTGTTTATTCAACATACTCGCAGCTACCGTCAATATCTTACGAATATCTGTAGTCTCAGGTTCAAGGTATCGATGAAGATGTAATCAGTGACTGATGGAAAGAATATTCTGAAAGTTTCCAAATAATCTCTGTAGAGAATTTTCCCAGAGACTGTAATCAAACTAGGTACATTCTGTTTTGAAAAGACTGAGTTCAGAAGTTTTCTGGCTAACCTCTGGCATAGAATGTTTCCAGAGACTAATTAAATTCGATATGCAACGTTCATGAAAGCGTCCTAACTAGTCTCAGGTACAATTTTCGAATAAAAATATACTCGGTTATACGGTTTCCCGAAAACCTCTAACTTCAAGCACAGAATGATTTTATAGATTCTTAACTGAAGTCATTTACGGCGTATCGAAATTTCTTATATTGACGTCGGGTCTAGCATATCTTGTTTCCATTACGATGCCTGTGGAAAGAATTTGAAGACGAAATTGCTTCGGAAGCCATGAGTAGAAAGCTCAGTTCACAACCGGATGACGTTCGTAACAAAGGATTTCGAAAATTCTGATATTGTGGGAAATAAAATGGGCATACAACGGATTTATATTTAATAAAGACGTTATATTTTAAAAAAAATATATACATAAAACTCATTACTAAATTAAGGCTGGAAAAATGTAAATTATAGAAATGTTCGTCACTATTCAGCTCGAAAATTTTGTATCGTCTCACGTACTTTCAAGAACGCTGAAATTCAGAATTTTACCAATTTTACTGTTTACTTTATAAGAAGGGGGGCATATTGTTTTGAGTGTACAGCGTAAATTACAAATGTATGGAAACAGAATCATCCGGGGAAAAATGGCTTATGATGGACAGTGTGAGTAAATCAAGGTATTTGATAGGGAGGAACACAGTGATTTGTACAGATCACCTAAGCTTATTTATTGTTATTTATTTAGTGTTCTGCCTGACGACAGGTCCATATGAACAGGATCCTTCCATCCTTTTCTCTGACTGGGACCTGTTCATATACGTTCTTGGTAGATGATCCAGAAGTGGTTTGCCATTGCCTTCTTCTGTGTGTGAATGGAGTAATTGTTGGGATGCCACGGAGAAACCGGGGAAGCCCCCGGAGGAAACCTCCGTGTTGCCTAGACCACGGCCTTGCCCAACACAAGTTATAAATTCGGGCACCGCCGGGAATCGAACCCGAGACCCCAGGATTACAAGGCCAGCGTTCTAACCGCTAGACCACCGTGGCTATCACCTAAGCTTACGAAAGACATTTTTGAGATAAGAAATGCATGCATAATATTGGTGAGGAACTGCATTCGAAAACGCCCACATAAAAAACCGATAAGTATTTGGAAGGATAACATGAAGTTGGATAAGTAATGTGGATGACAGCTGAACGAAATTAACCCTGGATTGTGTTCCGCTGTTATTAGCTACGAGGTCCCTTCAGGTTATCAGCCGATTGGCTAGCAACTTGCGTGAACACTTGTTCTGATTCATCCTGTACAGTCGGCCATATTAGAGTTGGGTGTAGCTGTGTGAGATTATATGCAGTAGGGACCACAATCTAGAACCCGCTCACTGAATATTTCATTAAGCGTCTCTGGAACTCGCTGCTATGTGTAGGTACAGACGAGAGGGATCAGTGAGGAAGCTGTCGAACGGACTGTCTAGTCATTGAAGCTCATCAGTGGCGTGCAGCTGATATTTAAACGCAACTGTCAGTACCCGCTTCCCAGGAGGAAATATATGATTCATCGCCCAGCGCTAACGCCAACTGACGCTAAAATTATTCACATAACTCTGACATCATGTTAGGCACTTGGGAGTGGTTCGATAAAGTGTTTAACAGCGTGTTTTTCTTTATAACTCGTATGTGAAATGTGGTTCGGGTGAAAAGTTCCAGAGAAAATTTCTTCATAAATTTTCCGGGATCGCAGTTCCAAGTACGATTGGCATCCATGAACTTTTTAATGAAGTCGGGCTGACTCGGCCACTTCTGAACAAGAAACGCTATGTTGTTACACCACAGAAGTCACTGAGACGACTTTTACAAGAGACTAGATCGTAGCCAAAGCGAAATTTTCAGTCTATTTAAATGGCACATGGCGTGCGCCTATACACGGCCAACATTTCCAGCATCTCTTTCAGAAATGTAGCTGATTTTATTTCTCTTATGCAGTTATGCGTTATTCGTACTGGAAAAATCTTGTAGATGTTTCCAGTGAGATATGCATTTCCTGCCGGGGGATGATAGTTGCTTTCCGGTTTGTCGGTGAACTCACGGCATTAACAGAGTTGCCCCTAGATGGACAGACTTCCGAGGAAATTCGCTACAGCTTCCCTCCTTTATAAGAAATATTTCAGTAGAGTTAACCTAACCCAACCTAACCTAACCCAACCTAGCCTAACATAACAACCTAGCCTAACCCAACCTAACCTAACCCAACCTAACCTAACCTAACCCAACCTATCCTAACCTAACCCAACCTAGCCTAACATAACATAGCGTAACCTAACCTAACCTAACTCAACCTAGCCTACCCTAACAACCTAGCCTAACCCAACCTAACCTAACCTAACCCAACCTATCCTAACCTAACCCAACCTAGCCTAACATAACATAGCGTAACCTAACCCAACCTAGCCTAACCTAACCTAACCCAACCTAACCTAACCCAACCTAGCCTAACATAACATAGCGTAACCTAACCTAACCTAACTCAACCTAGCCTACCCTAACAACCTAGCCTAACCCAACCTAACCTAACCTAACATAACCTAAACTAACCAAACCCAACCTAGCCTAACATAACAACCTAACCCAACCTAATCTAACCTAACTAGGTTGTGGTTAGTCTTAACGCCTTTCTTTTCTTTTTTGGAAAAACTGAATTGTTATTTCTGTCACTGTAGAACATAATCAGAGACACGTATGTCTCTCAACTCTTTAAGGGAATTTGGGAACAATGTCCGCCTACTGTGAAATTCAGTAGCTCGGCATTACGTCCTTATACTTCATTTACGGTTTCCAATTTGTCCTCCGTGCGAACAGATAAAGTTTTGTTGCTTGTTACAGTCGAACATCGCAACCAAGAACTTAGAATCCCTGCTTTGTATTCTGAAGGTTCTGGGTTCCAATCTGGACTAAGATTCTCGTAGTTTTTCTCAGTTAATTGAGGAAAATGCCAGGATACTGCCTTAAATTATGATACGACCGCTTGCCGCCATATTTTTTACAATTAAATAATTGTTACTACTCATCCTCCCATCCCTCGCCGTATATCTGAGTTTTTGACAGACTCGTTAAATACACCTTAAGCAAATAAATAAAATTATTAATTAAAACTACACATTAATAGACTGTTTTTATATCAGAAGTACAGTGGGTTTTTTTAAACATAGGAATCAATACTGTATATTCACAGTCTTTTAATCCTTTGACCTCTTTAAGTGCCAAGTTCATTTAGATATTATTTAAGAATTAATTTATGCCTAAAAACGTATCTTCTTCACATAGATCAATTAGTTAAATCTATTTCTTCGGTATAGGTCGCGCGAGTATTGGTGGCACCTAAATGCGCGATGTGTAAGCCGAGAGAGGGGAGTTCAGTAGTGGGGGGGGAGGGGTCGCACAGCCTCAGCTGTGGTGACACACCGAAATAAACACAGCTAGAGCTACAAAGCAACTGAAGCTGACACCCCTCTAGCGCGTGCTTTGGACTGGTCCATCTCATACGACCAAAAGCAGTCCTCTGCGCAGGTGCCAGCATTTCTCGGGCAACCTCTACATCTAGTGCCTTGCCATGTTCGAACCAGTAATATGTAGGATCAGACTACGTAGTTATGTCGATTTATTTAAAGTGTGGTCTGTAGGCGTGTGACTCATGGACACATTTTGGGACTGTGCGTGTTCCTAACGTGACGTACTTGTTCCCTAAAGAAACAGAATGTTCTTGTACCAACCGTCACTGCTTGTTTGATTGTTCCCAAATAAATTCTGGCCAGATTCGTTGAATTTAATGAAACACAGTGTGAACATTCCTTCATAAAGTCGCTCAGTCTCGAAATCTTTTATCCTGTGTTGTCGGCACTAAATGTCGTTTATATGATCACCTGAGAGCACAAAAAATTCTCTTGTGCGTCAGTCTCTCATTCCATCTACACAGATCACACGACACTGAAGTGAGAGCCGTCAAATTGGTCCCGTATATGACATCGACTAGTAATCCGTGGAATCTCATATTCAGACGACTTTTTCTGATGTTATTTTTGGAGAAATCTCTTCTCTTTCGAAGTGCACTGCTCATAAAAATTTACGAGGCAACGCCGTGTAGCCTTCTGTAACAACGCTGAAATTCTGTACCGAATCTGGTCCTCTGTTTTCTTTAAAATATCATTTTCCTCGCTTCAGCTGCGAAACTCTTGTCAGCAAAGAATTTGTTTCTATATTCTACAACTTTCTTGGGGAGAAGAAGTGTAAAGTGAACACATACGAAAATGCCCAGTCTATTTACAATCTGCACTAAACGTTGTCAAAAACACTTCATTTCGGTCCATATCTGTCGAATAAAACATCGACTTTTCATGACGCTCAAATTGAACATCTCCGATCCTCTCAGAACTCATAATCTTAGACAAAAAAAAAAAAAAAAAAAAAAAAAACCGAACATCATATAAAAAAAAAAAAAAAAAAAAAAAAAAAAAAAAAAAAAAAAAAAAAAAAAAAAAAAAAAAAAAAAAAAAAAAAAAAAATTTTATTTAAAATTTCTTATAATTAAGATAATAAAATATCATTGATGTTCCATATCGATTGATCGATTTACATTTTCGGAACATTTACACAACATGTTTCGGTTTTTATAAAACCATCATCAGGTGTAAAATATATCTAAGAACTTAAAACTCAATTATGATTTCTGTAGTTTTTTGGTGATGTTTCATTACGTTTGTTTTTCCATTTTTGGGTAAAGGTGTTGTTTTTCTTAAATGTTATTAGATGTACATATCGGCCAAAGATGTAGGAGTGAGTGTCCCGATATGTCCAGAAGTACTAGTGTCTTCGAATAGGTGTGACCCACACAATTATTAAAATAAATAATTGATCATATATCTAATGTGTAGAGCTCACTGAGATGTATTAATTTACTTGAAATGATGATTCGACGAATATTTAATGATGCACGACTATGCTTTCCGTAGCTTTTCAGTATTTATCTTTGATTTATTTAACAACGCTTACAATAACTCAAGACTACAGGCAGCATCTAATAATAGGATGTTTAATTAACCGTTTAAAGCCGAGTGGTATTTATATGAACCGTATTAGCTGCATTAACAATCAACAACTGTGCATTCTGCATTCAGGGAGCTGTACCGCAGCGGATAACATCAGTCATGATGTCCGGTCTCGGGACCTCCGCGCGGTCGAATTAGTTTACCGCACTTGGTCTAAGAAAATGTCAGACAAGTGCAGGCCTGCCGTTTCATTACTAAGATATACGTCGCCATCTTGAAATGGACACAGCATCTTGTACCTCGCCTGGACCAGAAGATCTTGTTGTGGCTTTTACGGTGTAACGAAGCACAGAGCCAGAGCTCGCTCGGGTCCAGCTGAAGGCTTCCTAATGTGTGGCGTGTGGCAGGCCACAGGGGCAGCACATGTTCATTAAATGAAAGTCTAATTTACGTTATTGCACGACGCACGGTCTTGAAGTGCAGAGAAGTTGTGAAACTCCTCCGTCCCGTTTTCCTTATTTAATCGGGAACCCCTTGCAGCTCCATACGTATTTTTCAAGAAATGAACGCGTTTTTCAGCACGTGTTGTCGCATACGCGGCCTTCTATCCAGAACGAGGTTACATTTTCTTATATCCGATATGAAATTTACTTCTCAGACAGTCATAAGATATGTCGTGTGGGGGAACAGTAATTTCGCGGGCAGAACGATTTCATGACGATGGACTGGCTGTAGTGGACTTTCATTTTAAATTCCTTCTTCTTTCTTCATTCTATCTGTCTCCTTCCTGTCTTTCTATATTCCTTTCTCTCTGCATTTGTACGAGTATCGTGGTTTTACTTAACGAAGGCTCCAACTCCTACTGTTCTGCATAAAGAGCTCAAGTTAGGACACATGCGACTTGAACCCTTCTTACTGAGATGCAAAATTACAGCGTCAGGTAATATATTAGAAAATGTTAAATTGGATGCACCTGGAAGTGGTAGTGGCCTATTTCAAGGCCGTAACCCATGGAAGTGGTAGTGGCCTATTTCAAGGCATTTACCCGCAGTTGTATGGAGAGACTGTGGGAAAACCACGTAAACTAGCCTTGAATTTGGGAATTTCTGAATACGAAGCAGACTCGAGTTGATATTCGATAAAATTCATAAAAATAATATTAATCATCATTATCTTGACTTGAAACTATTTAGATGTTGCGTTAAAGGCAAAGCAGAAACACACAATCAGGCGCGAACGCCTTTTTGATTCAGAATTAACGGATCTTCCCCCTAATTTGTCTAGAAAATTGTCGCGTTGTATCGTGGGCGAGAGTTTTCATGTGACGTAGCATTACGCTAAAAATTTAAAACTCATTCCTAATTGAGTTTTGAATTCAAAGAAGTGGACAAATCCGCACATTTTCTGGGTTAATTCGCTAGACGCACGAGTGTGTCCTGTGTTTTTTTATAACCTGTCGACCTCAGGTCTAAATACAGGCGCAAAACGTCGATTTGTTTCGCACAGGAGAATCGGGAAATGAATCCCTGAAATCATTCTGACAAGTCAGGTGAAAACGAGATGCCAGGTAGCGTTCGACAATGAACATTAGCTCCACCTGTGAAAAAGGCCATCCTCGCATGTCGACTGTTAAAAGGCAACTGACGGACTGGAGCGAGCAGGTTACAACATGACGCGACCTTGCGTGGGCTCTCGTATAGTCACAGCGGTGCTGTGTGTTTATCAGTCTAATCCAATTGTATTGAATTAAAACCATCAATAAATAGCAGCCCTGAGGATGAGAGCAGAGATTGTTCCCGAAACGTTGGCAGACCACCTGACGCGGCTTGTAACCCGAGAGTCTTTAATCAATAATAAAAATTTTCTCGTTCCTGTGAAAGTCGCGTAGTTTCGATTTCAATATTAATGTAAAAATCTCTGATATTTCAGGTGTTGTCTGGCAGATATTTAAAGATTTTTCTTTCATAGTTGCTTAACGAGGTAGCTCGCTGAAGATCTCGCTCAGATGTAGTCGTTCAAATACGTTACTTCGTCCGCGAGTATCTTCGCTCGGGCGACCGACAGGTCGCTTGTATCGATTCTAATTCCACTAAATTCGACTGCGCGAGTCAAGAAAGTGCAATTCTCTGCCCGTCCCTTGTGATTGCAAGCTCAATTCTTATGCAAAGTCTAGCAGATGATGCGGCTACCTTTGGTTTTGGCCCAGGAACTGAAGGCTAGCTGCCGATGCAGAAATTTTGCGTCAGTCCGCGAGTCTTTCTGTAGTACAAGTGCTACTTGGCGTCTTCCTTACGAGGCAAACCTTCTGTTGGCTCTTTAAAAATTACCTGAGTTTTAAAAACTGTAGAATTTCCAATGTTTGAGAAATATTAATAGTTAGTAAGTTTAGTCATGGACAAGAGGTGTGCACCAGGTATTGGTTGGGTAAGCCTGAGGGGAAGAGACCGCTGGGGAGACGTAGACGTAGATGGGAGGATAATCTCAGGCGGGATCTATGGGAGATAGGAGTTGAAGGAGACTGGATTTTGTTGGCCCAGGACAGGGTCCGGTGGAGGGCTTTGGTTAATTCGGTGATGAACCTTTGTGTTCCGTAAGCCATCTGGTTGGTTGGGTCCACTATTTGGGAAGCCTGAGGGGAAGAGACCTCTTGGGAGACCTAGACGTAGATGGGAGGATAATCTCAGGCGGGATCTATGGGAGATAGGAGTTGAAGGAGACTGGATTTTGTTGGCCCAGGACAGGGTCCGGTGGAGGGCTTTGGTTAATTCGGTGATGAACCTTCGGATTCTGTAAGCCATCTGGTTTGTTGGGTCCACTATTTATGAAGCCTGAGGGGAAGAGACGGCTGGGGAGACCTAGACGTAGATGGGAGGATAATCTCAGGCGGGATCTATGGGAGATAGGAGTTGAAGGAGACTGGATTTTGTTGGCCCAGGACAGAGTCCGGTGGAGGGCTTTGGTTAGTTCAGTGAAGAACCTTAGGGTTCCGTAAGCTATTTAGTTAGTGAGATTTGAAGTTCTCAGGCCGGTGAGTAGGAAGACGACCGCCTTCTGCTAGAACGTCGGTAAAAGCAGAAGACAGTCATTTCCTTATTGGTAGAAGTTTGTTATTAATTTTTCTAATAAGAGCTTCTTTTCAATGAACGTTATGGTACGTCGTTCACGAGGCGAACGATGTGGTGTCCAGCAGTGATCGGATCCTTCGAACTCTCAAGAGCGAGTCGTTCTCGTTGACGACCCATCCCAACCAGAAGAATCTCCCAGTCAAAGACAGAACGAATCTCAAAAATCAAATGTTAGAGGAATTTGTCATAGTTTGCCCCTATTAATTAGTCTTATTCTAGACACGCCAGTGTTGTGTGTTGCAGGTACGTCTGTTGGACGGCTTACTTGATGCGTCACCACGGAAAATCCGGTCACATGGATCCAGTTCCGCTTCCTGGGGCCCCCTTCAGTCACTACTACTCACAAGAAGCGTCAGATGAGGGAATCATCATGGAAACGAACGTTGCAGTCAAGGAGGCGAGTACTGCCAACATTTTCATTTTACCATGGTCAGTGTTTAACATCACATTTCAGCCGTTGTCTGAAGAAACCCCAAAAAAATGTCGGTATTAACTCACCATAGATCTTCTGTGCGAAATAAATAAATAACACGCTGGATTTTATAAGGACTCCTCGACGTATTTATCTCATTAGCATATTAGAGTCAGAACATTTTACGGCTGTGCCGTTAATACTACGAAGCTCCACGCTGAACCGATCTTTTAGATATCCCTGCTGCTTCCGTTATGAGGGCCCTGAGGATGGTAGCAGCAGAGACGTATGAAACGTCGGTAATTTTCTACCAGAGTACACGCCGTTATAACTAAGAAGGCAGGCATATTTATTCTCACCGATGTCAGAACGTCGAACCTTACTAAGTTGTAATCTGTCCATCGAGATCGTTAAGAACGTTTTCGCAGATAAAGTTAACATCATTATTTCGTGGGCATAAAATTCCATCATTAATGTTTTATATAGGTCAGATATGTAGAATTAATTACACGTAGACTGTTTCTCGACGTTTCTTTAATTAGCAAATTAGTAGTAAGTTGTTCTGAAATACCAACTGCGTTGCTGCCTAAATATGCTTGAAATTATTAACATTGGTTGCAATAACCCTTTCTACAGGGTGTTCCAAAAGAAGTATGTACACATTCAATGAATAAAGTAAAAGTTATTTTTATGAACTATAACATTACATACGTTGGCACTGGCCCTTAATAAAACTAATCTGTTGTAAACTTTCAAAATGATCACCGTCAGCTTCGTTTATGGATAACAAGGTTAATATTTCGTATTATAATATGTATACATATTTTTGGGACATACTGTATATATCAGGGGCTCTCAACCTCTTCAAAACCTGAAACCACTCCCACCATGTCTCATCGACTCGCGGACCGCCTTGGACAGTTTATCAAATTTCACGGCAAATTATTAAATATTCTAAGCAAACAAGATCAAAATATTTGTAATTTCGTCATTACTAATGAGCGTTCGATTAAAATTACGTAAATGTTACCCAGAAATTCACGATTCGTAGTTCGGGAATCAGTGGGAAGGACTCAGGACCTCTCACACGTGTTGTAATTTTTTATGGTGATGCAAAGGTGTGGCAATCGATAGCTCGTAGTTGAGACTACCAACGAAGGCAAAAATGAACACAAAATTTTAGTGTGAAACTCTCTTGTAAAACGAAATTTGATAATTGGGATGGGTTTGGGAGAATACCTTATAGATATGGGAATGTCTTAGGGAGATTGGTTGGTATAATTGATTAAGGAGGCTCATTTTTATGTCCAGTGGATGTATTTGGTGACAGCCGTTCTTCTGCCATTGGTTCGCTCCTACAAAGGACGGAGGATACATAGTTTTACATACCTGAGTAAATCACCACTGGATATAAGTGGAAACAACCATTGAATTCGTCGTGGTAGTCATCACATTTAAATAAAGGCAAGAAACACTTCTGTCATAAAATATAATAATATGGTAGCAGAACTTTGAAAGCCTGTGTCATGATCCACCAGCGCCACTGGCGACATGTGGCCAAACTACCCATCTTTACGCCCAGGTCTTCTACGTCGACAGCCTACAGAAATCTGCGAATGAATGTAACTCATGTCCTGTGACAGTTGATGCCACGTTACGTGTTTTATGATGTCTGTCGACACCTGATGCTTTTCATGCTGTCAGAACAGTCCTCACGATTCCCAGGGGAATGCTGACGAGGGAGCTCTGTCGGACATTGCAGGAAGATGAAACACGTGATTAAATTTAGTTTGGGCTGGTGGAAACATCTCTAATAATACCGGATCCATAGTAAGGTTTAATAAACCCTGGAAACGAGGATCATTTGATATTTTCTGGCTGTATTTTGGTTGAGCCGGAGATGGACAAGACAAGTAATCAATCACGTGATGAAGTTGAAACAATTTCCAACGCGCCATATGTGTCATATACGCTGACCGTTGTCAATACAGTCCTGTGACGTACTCACAGCCGTAAACTTCAAGGGAACAGTCGATTGCGGTCGTGTGGCTGTCGATGCCGTATATTCCGAAACGTCAGTAGACAACTGTATCCAAAACTACACTCGAATTTCTTGGTTTTTGGAGTCAGTAAAATAAATGAGATTTACAAAACAATGACAGGTCAGTATCGAGACATCTGTTTGAGGCAGAGGAAATTTTACGAATGGGTTGAAAGTTTCGAAGGGGGGTCTGATACATATTCTGAGAGAACTTGGATTAAAATGTGGGGAAGTTAAGGTGCAAATTGGTCTGTATATCCAGGACGAAAGAAGAACAAGTATTTATGAAATGTCTTATCAGTGGGAATCAGCGATGGAAAGGAATTGGCCAAATCTGCTTTAGGGACCATTCGAAAACATTTTGTTATGAAACAGTAAGCAAACATTCTGGTCGATGGACAAAATTGATTAAGAGAGCTGCGATTATGTACGAAAATGATATGATTTTGACTACGTTGTAGATTATTGTAGATAATACTCCGACATCGGTATTTGGAGGTCCCGAACTCAGTTCCAGGCACAGAGATCGGCTAACATGACTGAAGATGGTCTTCGATTTTTAATCCCTTCGAGCAAATACTGTAAATTACCTTAAAATAGGCCACGACCGTCCTTCATGAACTTCCGAATTCATCGTTCGCTGCCATTTCGTATGTATTGACGAGTTAAAAAAACGTCGTTAAATAAACAGTTTGTAAACGCGACAAATCCACCAACACCTCTTGAAAGGTTATTCTGTGTTTCGTAGTTTTCATCGCCTGTTGTGGGTGGAAGATCACGTGTCATACGAGAAGAATAACTTACGCTGCAGATCCAGTGTTTGGTCCATCTCTGTGACCTAGACAACTCCCTGCGATTTCGTGCTGTTTGTAACTCTTACGCCTGCCTGTGTTTAAAGCGCTTCTTCTGCTCGAGAGGCGTTCTTTGTGAAGCAGCTCTCGTCTTCAAGGGCTTAGCGATGTTCACTTATCACAACAAGCTAGAAGTTTAGCCTTCACTCACAGGCGGCGTTTAATATTCGTCTTCCCATCTTTTCTTTCATCTTCCTTTCATTCTCTCTCTTGTTCTTTGTTTCCTTATTATCTGTTTATTCATTTCTTCATCTGTTACATTTCTTCCTTCGTATTATTTATTTTCTATCACCTGTGTCATCTCTGACATCCCGTGTTAATGTTAAGATGTGTACTTTACCGACTTGTCAAATGCCCTAATCAAAATCTCGGCTGTCTGGCGTCGGCCATTAACTAACCCCTGTTTAAAGGAGAGCCAACATCAGACTTCCCTTTCTCCTGGTCTCTGTACCAATTATGCAATAATCCCCCAAAACAGCAGACGCCTAACCAAGGATATTTTAAAGATCTTATAGGTTAAGACCTTTTAATTTCTACTTGAACGAACAAGCACAGATTAGAGGCAGAAGTAATTGCTTTCTCAAGTCGAACTCATGCTGAGTACTCCGTCTAATGAAAGGAGCGAAGTAGCTCATTCATAACGCCAATAGGCCTACAAGTTTCATGATTTTACTTAGTTCTTGTAAATAAAATATCGCAAAGTACAATTCGTTCCCTGACAAAGTTTAACGCAGATGTCACCTTCCGGCTTCCGGCAAGAACTGTTGTACGAGGTGCGATCGGAAAGTTTCAAGACTGTGTCAATAGAGGGCGAACCGGATGTAGTACGAGCTTCTGCCGCTAGGGGGTGCGGCCTACATTCATAGTGAATCAGTGTGCCAGCCGGCATCATCTAATTAGCATTTGGTTCTTAGTTACGGGCGTTTTGGTAGTGCATTACACCGACCCTCCTGCGATTTCGGAATGGCGTGTGCATCAAATTTTGCCAAAGACTCGCCAAAACGGCTACGGAAACCTATGAAATGCTAAAGCAAGCATTTGGGGAGTCCGCAATGGGTCGTGCACAAACTTTGGTGTGGCATTCACGTTTTAAAAATGGCCGAACCCCTGTCGATGATGACGAGCATTCTGGACGACCATCTTCGAGCACAACGCCCGAAAATGTTACGAAGATCGACGTCGTACCATCAACGACTTGTGCGACATTGTTGGGACCTGTCAGCTGATTCTAAAGGAAGAACTCCACAGGCGACGCATCCTGTCTGAGGACCAGAAGCAGAATCGACTTGCTTGACCGGCTGACAAAGAAAGATTTCCAGGGATGCTTCCAGGCTTGGCAGCGGCGCTGGGATCGTTGTGTTCACTCCCAGGGGAACTACTTCGAGGGTGATGGATGAATTTATTACCTGAGATAAGTGTACGGGTTTTTATAGGCGCAGTCTTGAAACTTTCCGATCGCACCTCGTATAATATGTAAGCTGGTTTTCTTCATGGGCCGATACTCGACTCATGTTCAGAAAACGTAGCGATTGTCGGTGTCATGTAATTCCAGCCACGAATCTGGAAGTGACAGTCGATTTAAACTTTATCAGTGAACCTTAAGATCGATTCCTTAAGAATCACAGCATAATACTTATATTTATTTCTTTGTGTGCGTTCATCGGACTTACTGAAGAACTGGACCCAAAATGGAGTTTGTCTGCCCAGAAACATGATTCAGTATTTCGATTAAATTTCGTATTAACGGACTACACTGAACATTGTCTGTAATTGTTTGTATGATCTGAAGCTTTCACGGCGACTAAATATAATGAATTCTTGCCCTCAGGACGAAAATGGTTCTCAAAACGTTGGCGTTTTCTCCATTAAACCATCTGGCACGGCTGGTAGCCCGAGAAGAATTCATTAAAACGCAATTCTGTTCCCGGCTGGTTTCCGATTATGTAATCCGCACTTCAGATTAAGCTCATCTCTTGCGCTACAATTTTTATCAAAAACACTTATTCTTACAGATATTTTATATGTGAGAAATACAGATATCACTCTGTTAAATACGTTTTAACTACACGACTAACCCTGTAATCGATTTTTGCTAGAAAATAAATAAATGGACCTCGCGGTTAATTAGGTATTCAGAATCGCATAACAAGTAATTGGAAAATATTTAGACTGTTTTCCATTAGAGTACGAACTTACATTCTTTTGTAGGTCGTATGTAACCGATCTA